GTGAGGGCAACTGTCGAGGTCGCTGCAGACCCATCTGCACTTCAGATATGGCCAAAGGTGTTGCCTGCAGTATTTCTGCCTTAGCGAAAATCTGCGAGACTGAGACTCACGAATGAGCCATTCTTCTTCACAGATCAACCTTCACTCGATTCCCCGGCTCGCCAATATTGCTTTGTACAGTGGTTATTTGCTATAGGAATACTTTGGAGGGCCCTCATGGCCTTAAGGAGCCATTCAAAACAGGGCATTTAAAAACCCCTACACCATTACTAAGCTCAGCAGAGGGGAGAAACGACGGGTACACAAAAGTTGTTCGTTCCTCTGCCAGAATCCTTGGTCCTCCGTGAGGCTTGATTCTAAGTAACGTAAGTGGCTCACTCAGTTCGGTGTCCCCCCTAACGGCAGGCTCCTGCCTTTTCTCCCCTTTTTTGAGGGAGAAAACACTGAGCAACACATTGACTAACCTCCGTGAGCTACTACCACGCCAAATGGCAGTGAAATTGCACACGATTTCGAATGGAAGTCTGGAGCCGTATGCAACAAGCCCCGAAAGTCGTCGGGGATAGATCCCGAACCCGTATGCAACGAGCCCCGAAGGGTAATAACCCCGACGAGCCACTGGTGTTGCATACGACTACGGGGAAATGTCACCGACAACCTTCAGGGCTTGATGCATGCGGCCCCTGCTGTCGTCGTGTGGGGGCGCCGTGGTGAGGACCGAGCCTGGGAGAAGGGGAGGAGTTTTGAGGAGAATGAAATCGCTTACACACCCCTCTCCTTATCCCCTCTTAGACTTAGGCCTAAGGGGACTAGGGAACGAGAAGGGTGTTGGCTGTATTTCCTCTCTGCTTTATGCTCGATGAAAAACATAAACACATCATAGAAGTCGGAGCTCCTCAAGTCGGAGCTCATGTCCGGGGTGGGGGGGACATTCAAAAAAGGGCCATTTTTAGGTGAGACTAGGACTGAAGCCCAGCAAAGGGGAGAATTGCCAGGGAGAACACAAATTGTTCACATGTTTCTCCAGGACCCTTTCTCCTCCCTAGGGCTTAGTCTCAAGCACAAAAATTAGCTCATGCTTGGATGTTCGCGTCCCCCCGCCCCACCCCCAAGAACACGACCGCCCTCAATAAGAGAAAAGAAGATTAGTATATAAAAATTAATTATACAAGTAATATGCACTAATGGAACCACTGGGGTAGCTATGAGAGTGGGGCAAGTTGTCCTGTGAAGGGGAACTATCTCAAAGAGGCAGTTGACGTTATTGTCGGCTGGGAAGGGCGCTCGGGCTTTGGTTTCAAATTGCAGGGAACGCCAAAAGGGTATTAAAGGTCGGATATATGGTTAAATGCATTCGCGGAACTTCATGGTGCCCAGAGCAGCTAGTGGGAACGACCCAGGAGCTTGAAGAAGTAAGAAGAAAAAGAAGCGAAAAGAGGAAGGCAATCAGAAAAAATATATATGATAGTTGTTCCTTGTTTATAATGAATTCTTATGTTGAAGGGGTTAGAAGTGCGACTTTTGCCAGGAATGACCGTTCGTTGCGGTATGTCAATGCGAGAGATCTTTGGAGGATCACTCTTGGTTCTCCCATTATCAGTACTGATAGCTTTCTGCATTTAAAAACCGCTGTTCAGTGGGTAGGAATCATTTCTATAGCGGTCATTCCTGGTGGTAAGCCGTAGCCCATTTGTCTGGATATTAAATGCAGAGACTTCTTCGATGCTTGTGTGTTCCAGGTTTTCCCTTCTCGGTTTTGCTACAACGCTTCCTGTTAACGCTACTTGTTTACTAACACAGTTCTACTATACTAAGCACTTAATTGTCACAATGGGCAAGGTCGGAAGACGGAAGAAATCTACGGTCGCATGTGGGTTGCTATAGGTATGATGGTTGACTTATGAGCTCGGCTACCAGGCCCACTTTTCAGTGACTATGAGCACGTTTGAGGATGATGGAACGCAAGTGGAAAGACGTAGTACGGTGAGAAAACGTACCCGGAGAAGACCTGAAGAGACTCAACAGTTTCGGAACGCATTCAGAGAATTCTGCCTTAACGTGAACACTGTGGGTGTAAATTTACAACGTTATGTACCAAGCAAGGGAATGAGCACAGTACCGTACTAGGGAAAGCCTAAGGCGCTCATCTCGCTGAGGGAGGAAGGGGGGGGGGACATTCGAGTGAGGGAGCCACTTGAGCATTTGGGACTAGGCATTGACGAGGGTAGAGGATTCTGGAGGAGGTTGTGACAACTTTTGTTCGCCGTTGGTGTTTCTCCCTCTTCTGGGTCTATTCCTTACCTTAACCTACCGTGGGCGCTATTTTGAATATCCTCCCTAAGGTAATGAGCGCCAAACCCATCTTCGAAGTTGCATGGTGAGTGTTTCCGTGACCCACTTTTGCACATCAGTGCTTCGAGTTAAGTATTGATTTTACGCGATTCTAATCGATTTTGTCTGCTAGATTGTCCCTTTCATTTCATGCATGTTGCTCACATTGATGGGTGGTGCTTTGTGAAACGGCTCGAGGTATTTAGAGCTCAAGATAGCATATGCTACTGAGCGAATAGGCTTAGGCGAGAGGGCAAAAGAAAAAGGATATGTATCGATCAGGCGATTGTGTAAGTAGGTAAGTAGGCCACTAGGCATGTAGCAGTCAGGCGAATGGGATTGCATACGTATCGATCTGATTCTCTTAGGTAGCATGCAGAGTTGGCGATCGTACACGCACTTACGCGATTATGGGTGTTTCTGCGTTGGCGCCGATGCCACTTTTCCCCCGTACGTGCGACTAGGCGATTAGTCTATAGTGAAAAATATTGTACGTATGGATTAGGCGATAGGCGCGGGAACACAACATACTTATTGATTGGTTTGCTCCGCCCATAGAACGTTGTAGGCGAGTAGGCGAGTAGGCGATAAGGCGATCGCTCAATAGGCGGAGCAACAAATCAATACGTATCCTTCTCTCATCGCCTACTCGCCTACTCGTCTAATCGACTAATCGCCTTACTCGCCTAATCGCCTTATTGATACGTATAGTTTCTTATTGAAATCATTCGCCTAGTTCGCCATCGCCAACGTAGTGGACCGCCAAACTGTGAAAGTTCAGTAGGCAATTATGGCGATTAGGCGAGTGGGCGACTAAAAAGGCGGTGCCGTGTCGTTCGTTCGCCCTGCACCCACCGAAGCGCTCGCTAATCGCAGCTGCGCTCATAATAGTCTACGCCGCCTACTGTGGTGTGCCTTTCTTTAGACCAATCGCCTTAGTCGCTAGGACACGATTGCCAACTTTGAACGCTGCCTCAGCCTATTAAGCGACCGCCTGATTAACGCCACTGAGCGGAGCGAACCATATCAATATGTATACTCCCTTTCAAAAAACGAGAAGAGAGTCGGGTGCAGTCCATACACCAAATAGGACCATGCGTATAACCGTTAGTGTTGGCTATAAAATTGTTAAGAAAGACCATCTCAACGAGGGTCTCACTTGATACGATTCAGATTGGAGTCCAAGGATTAGTCACGCAGTTCGCAGCAATCAGAGCAGAAACGCAGTCTTTTCAAGGCAAAGCAAAGGCTGCTTTTGATGCCAATCCCACGAAGAATCGGTATAAAGGTAATCTATAGTAGCATTTTCGCAACAACCCAACGTACCAAAGGCACAGTGAACATGATGGCATGACTAGAAACGGAACGTTTCGACGACATTGCAATGCGTCTTCGGTGAGGCGACGGAGGAGGTGATTCTCAACCATTCCTCCTCCCCCAAACGCTGAGGCATCTCGTCCACACAACTTCAGTAATGTGATTGAAATCGCTCCGCCTTCCAGTCATCGTGTTCACTGCCCTTAAAGGTCAGACAAGTATATGCTCGAATCCAACATTGTTCGAGATAGCATTAGGAGCACCGATTACGGTAATTTGATGCTATGATCTGATAAGAAATCAGAGGATTCGTGATGAAGAAAACAGTTCCATCATCTCATCACTCAAGCAGTGAGACCAGCATCCCATCCTCTGGAATTGAGAAGTGCACGAGTTCATGCTCACCATGAAATGGGGGTCATTTTCATGAGATGGCCACGGTGGCAGATAAGGCACTGTTTGAAATGAGTAATGTATATTCCCGTATAAAAAGCCATCGAAAACAGTATCGCAAATGTCAGCCACCCGACTTGAAGGGCCTAATTCAGGGACGGAGTTTATCCACTCGGCACTTCTACCCTAGCGTCCGTTTCCGCTAACTTTTAGTGACCCCTGGTACACTGTAGTGAAATTATGAGTATCAATAACCAAAGGAGGGGTGGTGTTGCTAAGCTTTGGGCAAAGAGATGGACACCTAACTATGCGCTTTCTATCAGACACTACAGCATCCCAACAGCAACACTGATTTATCTGTCCGAGCGCTATTGCGAAACTTATCCGTCAGACTAACCTCGACTTGCACTCCTACGTAGTCCAGCAGCTGGTGCTAAAGCAAACTACGAAAACAAAATACTCACATCGTACGTCGGTGTTTCGCCTAACCACAATAGGTGAGCCTAAAAATGGATGGGTTAACATCGAGTTCTATGCCATTATCCTTTGTGAGCTTTTGTGACTGAAAAGGAAGAACAGCGTTTTGCACGCGTCACAACCCCTCCAAGATTCCGAGATGCCAGAAAAATTTCAAAGCATTCTACGACCAGTCCAGAGTACTTCAACATCGACAATGAAAACGGGTGTAAAGCGCATGGTTAGTAAGGGAAACATGTGAAAATTCCATCGGAAACGCCAAGAAGAAGACGTTTGTGGGCAGTGGATGAGTATGAGAGACAGATTACCTGAAAACACTAGGTAAAAGATCGAGAGAGCAAGGGAACGAGCAGGGCGCAGACATCAACGCATTCACTCGATGGGCGACCACAGATCAAAACAGTGTACTTTACCAGGAAAGGCGTTCGACTTCCCATGGAACTTCGAATTGAGT